TAATACTAAGTGTCTGGAGGATTCAGCTGTAGCATATGCTTTCAGAGAGCAGCTCGAACATGGGCTTATATACAACCCAACAACAAACAACCCAAATCCCAGTGCTGAATGGGATATTCTCGACACTGTCATGACAAAAACCTGCAGAGACCCTCGGACAGATCGAAATAATACTCCAGGACTGGTTTGATGAAAATGAATCCCCGGCAATCAAAGTACTCATCGATGACAACCATGCTGCTTTAACTGACTGGCAGAACAACCCTCAGTCTCGGACCAAAGCTGATACCTTCCGCAAGAAGAAAGCGGAAGCCCAGTGGGAACTTTGCAATCTAAATAACGACTGGTTTAAAAATAAAACAAGTGAAACACAAAAATTTGCAGATCAGCACAAAATGCACGAATTTTTCAATTCCACTAAAACATTCTACGGGCTAATGAATTGTGGCGCAGCCCACCTCCGCTCATCTGACGGTAACACCATAATTAAAGACAATGAAGGCATCCTTCAGCGCTGGAAGGAGCACTACCATTCACTGCTCAACCAAAACAATGATGTGGATGTCCTGACTACCCAGCAAGTCCCTCAGCAACCAGAGCTGACCCACCTCAGCCATCCTTCAGCCTGGATGAGGTAGCTTTTACAATCAAATAGATGAAAAATAACAAAGCCTCAGGGCCTGAAGGATTCCCAGCCGAGGTGTATAAAGCAGGAAGACCTCTGCTTACCAGACATCCCCACTCTCTCCTGGAGAATGTATGGGAAAGGGAGGAAATCCCCAAAGCTCTTGAAGACACCTCCATCGTCAATATTTATAAGAACAAGGGAGACCGGTCAGACTGTGGCAACTACGGCGGGATCTCGCTGCTCTCCGTAGCTGGCAAGATTATCGCCCGAGTCCTCCTAAAAAAGACTTCTTCCTGAGACAGAAAACTTCCTCCCAGAATCTCAATATGGCTTCAGACCATCACGTGGCACCACTGACATGTTCTTTGCTGCCCGCTAGATACAGGAGAAAATGCAGAAAACAGTGTTGTGACCTGTACATGGCTTTTATCGACCTAACCAAGGCCTTCGATTCGGTCAACAGGGAAGCCCTCTGGTGGACCCTCAGCCGTTTTGGCTGCCCACCAAAATTCATCGCTACTGTGAGGCAACTCCACAATGGCATGAACGACAGTGTCCTGCACAATGGCACCCAGTCCGAGTTCTTCCTCATCCAAATGGGGGATTAAACAAGGATGTGTACTGGCACCAACTCTCTTTTCCATTTTCTTGGCTGCCTTCCTTACTCGTGCCAGTGCCAATTTAGCCGGCGGAGTGGACATTGAGTACCGGATGAAGGGTCTTTTCAACATACGATGATTCCCTGCAGGAAAAAAGATGTCGGCAGCTTCCATTATTGAGCTTCAGTATCATATGACCTCATCTTTGTCGCTCACACTGAACACGACCTGCAGAAGATTCCTGAACACCTACGCAGATGCGTATACACACTTCGGCCTTGAGGTGAATGTACGTAAGACTCAGATTCTCTTTTACACTGCCCCTGGTTCAGTCACACCTCTACCATCCATCCAGCTTAACGTTACTACCCTCTCTAATGTTACCCACTTTCGGTATCTTGGTTCCCACCTGTCCACCACCGCGGACATCGATGAAGAGATTCAGCATCGGATCAGATGTGCATCCCAAGCCTTTGGCACACTCCAAAACCGTGTCTTCAGCTGTAGAGAGCTGAAATTATATACAAAGTTACTGCATATGTATATCGAGCAGTGGTCCTCCCCACCCTTCTATATGGCAGCGAGACATGGGTCACATAAAGAAGGCACCTCAAGGCACTTGAAAACTTTCACCAACGTAGTCCATGTTACATTCTCCGAGTTCGCTGACACCAACTGTAGGAGCATCAAGGCTACCATTATTCATGAACAACTGCGCTGGACTGGCCATGTTACCCGCATGGATGACAGTAGACTTCTAAAGCAGCTACTTTACACTCACCTAATGAATAGTAAACGTAAAGCGAACGGGCAATTGAAAAGGTATAAGGATAGTCTTAAGACAAACCTGAAAAAGTGCCAAATTGACCCCCTCACCTGGGAGACAATTACTCCACACCGTAACGCTTGAAGGAGCACCACAGGAGAAGGTGTCAATACTTTCGATTTAGCCCAACTGCATAATGAGGCAGACAAGCGCCAATGCTGGAAAGACGCTGCCGCCGGCCCTCCCGCACTAGATGTAGCCCCCCACATGTGCAACATCTGTGATCGACCCTGCTGGTCCCGTATCAGCCTCTTTAGTCACCTCAGAACTCACCAACCTAGATGACATCCTTAACCCTCTCAGTCTCGGAGCCTGAGACACATATGTGCATGAAAACTTACGCCCTCTGGCTTCATGCTGCGCTGCCATGCACATGATGACCAAGACCATATTGGGAAGGTAATAAGGCTCACACAAAGAAAATGACGTCTGTCAAATGGCGTCCACAGTTCAGTCAGTTTCACTGAATAGTTTTTTAGATATTTGAAAATATAGCCCATTGGACGCTACGTTGGCGTCACGAGGCTGAGCATAAGTTTTTTCGCCTTTTAAGTTCAACGCCACAATGGCGTCGTGCGAGGCTGAGAGGGTTAATAACTCATGTCATTGTATCATAGTAGTAGTAGGTGCGGTGTAACAGTGTGTCCTCCCTGATCTATAGTGATTTTGGAGGGAACATATTAGGTACGTGGGAGCAGGAATTTCACAGTGTGTCAGTGATTATCTGACATCGCCCTAAGCATTGCCACCGAAGGTTCTTATCATCCCTTAAGCATTAATTTCAAATTTTCCATGTGTGTACCAGAGATCACCAAGTGGAGTATGGGGGTCGGCCCAGTCTCTATTTCAATTAATCCCATATGTTCTTTTATTTCATTTACGCGTTTCTTGTTTTACGCGGACCTCCACGGGTTCAATTGACCGCGTAAATGCAGACTATACTGAACAGGGAACTAGTTTTTAAACCGCCAAACAGCCACTTGACTCACCCAGAATGGCATCAGTTTTTGTCTCTGCTCAGTGGAGGAAACATCTTGCTTGAGACTCTCTTGAACATAAACTATTTTTACGTTTTTACAGTACAATTATTGGTCATTCTGAAATTTATTTTACGAACTTAAAATTTTATGGGTGAAATGGCGGCATGAAGCATGGGGTGATTTCTCTTCCACTCCACTTCCTTCTCTTCTCCCTTCTCCTCCACCCCCACTTCTAATTCCCATCATCATCATCATGCACACCTCAAAGTAAGTGTACTTTACTGCATTTATTTTTAGTTTGTATGTAACTTTCGGTGAGCTGGAACTAATCACCCAAAATTCCATTGAAACAATGGTTTCGGTTAACGAACGACCTTCTGGTACGAATTGTGTTCGTTAACCGAGGGACCGCTGTACTGGCAATAATACCCCAACCATTCTGTCAGAGGGCACATGCAATGAAGAGAAGACTGACAATGTGGCAGAAAGGGGCCCTTGATGATCTCCTACGTGAAGCAAGAACACTGCAGGAGAGACTAAAATTCACAGGAGACAAAAAGCAAAACACAGAGGATGTTGCCAGAAAGTTCAGAAACAAGATGCATGTGGGAAAAGTGTATTTGGCGGTCAGATCTCTCACAGAGGAATCTTCCGGTGGTTTTCTTCCAATAAACAGAGACATTAAAATAAGTGAAGGATAAACATCCCCCGACCCACACTTGTAAGTACAGCCTACATGATGACATAACCCTCAGTACTGAAATATTGTGGACTAATTATGCTTACTCATTTTCTGCCTTATCTGGAGCAATAAGACAAAGTGGAATGATACGCAACTAAGATTAATAGAGTTATGTACTTTGTATTATGTCACTATGTTTAATGATCTTATGTACAGGTAGTTAAGATAAAATTGTGTGACCACCAAATTATGCATTAGATGGATCACCATGTAATGCCAATGAACGCCTTGTTCTCTGCAAGTTTTGACCATATCAATAAATATTGAGAGCGTCAAAAGGTGGGTTTCAATCATTCCCTTCGACTTGCCTGTCACCCGACCATCCTTAACTAAGGCGGTTACAGTTATCATCGGGTCTTTTCTTACAGAGAGAGGAAATCAGCAATGTTCAGATTGTACTTTGTTTTTGTGATTGTGAGGTGCTTTTGATCTGTTTCTGTGACTGAAGTGCTTCTCCTCTGCTTTTATGAATGTGAAGTGAGTAGAGTAACTTTGAAATTGTCTTGCAAGCTGTTGCTGAGGTTCCTCTGTCTGGGAATGCCAAGGCTCCCAGGAAAATCATGTCTCTGGAAATGAAGCTTGACTTGGTGGAGGAGCCAGGTGTGTTCTTAATGACAAGGTGATTATTGTTTAATTGCTTTCTATTTTTTTTTATAAGTGTAGGATATTTTTTTTTTTACTGTGATACAAGTGTGTGTTGGACTGGCTGGGAATGTAATGAACTCAATTTACAATATTTTGATTAGTGTGATTTGTGATGGGATTTTCAGGAATGTAACCCTATTATAAATCGAGGTTTACCTGTAAATGGCCACATGTCCTTGAAAAGTATGGAGTGGAAACTTATCTACTAATTTATTGAAAAGATTGTTTAGATGCAGCTATGGTATGTATTTGAGGGGTCTCCTTAAATCCTTTACATCTGGATGATATTCAGGAAGTAATTGACAAATGGATGGTTGGGTGAATGTACAGATAGTTGAACACACATCTTATGAAGAAAAAAAAATACTATACGGGTAGTATTAAATTTGTACAGGGCACATGAAGTTATATTGCCTCTTAATTTTATATTACAGTATTATTCCAAAATTTTTGCATGCCAAATCATGATTACAATCTTTCTCTTAACCATCATGCATTGTATCCCCAAAAGGAGTCATTCTCATTTAATATAGAATACTGAAGTTAAAGAAAAGCTGCAAACACAAACACAACTACTAACCAACAGATGACTTATGACAAGTTGCATTAAACAGTGAGTCCAAGGTGGTAGCGATGAAGGTTTTATTGGTTGTGTGCTTCAGAGTAACACCTATTAGAGACATCATGAAGCACAGCTGAGCCTGTTGCTTGTCATAGAGCTGAAGTTGCTCCATCTGGAAAAATATAAGCAAAAGTTTCTATTAGAAATACCATAAGGGATGCATACATAAAATTGCTGAATGGGAAATGAGGCACTGACAATTTAATTAATACAAACCTGTAATCAGCACAAAATATCTCAAGTTTATGTTGGTGTTTTTTTGTAAGGAAAGAGAAACCAAGAAATTAAAAAAGAAATTAGTGAATTCATGATAAAACCTTCCACCAGACATATCTGCAAGTCACTTTTATTGAGTCAAGTTGTTATTGGTGAGTTTCAAGTCAACCCTTGAGTCTTTTTTGATGAGTTGCAAGTGTTGCAATTAAGTACAGTAGTTGAGTGGTTACCTACGTGTGTGATGGTATGCATACTCAATTTGATAGATGGGTTTAATGTTAGCATTTCTGAATGTTTCTAAATGTAATATTGAAATATGTCATTGTTGATATACCTGAACTGTATAATGTTATTGCTTCTAATATTGTTAGGTAAAGTAATTTCCATGCTAAATAGTTTTCGACTTGGGAGCCCTCAGTTGGGTTGCTTGGCAGAGGCAGACACAGCCGGGATTTCAAGTAAGGCAAACTTACGTTTGTTGGGGAATAATTACTCAGGTTTATATGTATCAGTAGTGCTCTAGTGATTATTATCTGGTAAAAATAATATTTGTATAATTGTGTTATATTTGTATATTGATAGGTTAAGGATCAGATTGCTGTGACTGTATCTATGTTATGAGTTGAAAAAAAAGGGTAATTCAATGTCCAGTTTATGCTTTACTGCAGGCATGGGCAACCTATCCTCAGTCATGGAGCGCATTACAATTTAAGTATTTTTCTGAGGGCCAACCCACCAAAATTTATATCCACCTTGTGATATTTTCAGTTTACAATCACAATGCTGTTCCCATTTATGAAACAAATCCACCATAATAATTTTTAAAGTAAAATGTTAATGTTTCTTGGCATTTAACAGAAGATGAGCGAAGCAGTCTATGAATAGTTATATCTCCGTTAGCTGGAACAAGTGGTAATTTTCCGGGAAACGGAAAATGTTCCCTGAAGTTCCAGAATGATGCATTATTTTATCTGTCGAACCCGGGAAAATATATCCCATCCCCGGAATTTTCCAAGTAATGGAAAAATGTTCTCGGAACGTCCCGAATGATTACATCATCTCTCGAAACCCAGAAAAATACCTCGTATCCCGGGAATTTTCTGGGTACGTATCAGAATTATTTTTTTTTTTAATTTCTAGAAAATAAACCTGATATTCATCTCTCAAACCTGGAAAAAACTCCCCCTCCCTGGAATTTTCCGGGCCCTGCGAAAATTTTCTCTAAATTTTCCAGAAAATGTGCCCCTCGGAAAATTTCAATTCCGGCTTTTGGAGAGTTCCGGGTTTCAGAGATTCTGGCTAACAGAGATATTACTTACGTTGATTTTTCCTGCAGTTATAACATTTTTCTTTCTTATGAGACATACCCACCAGAATAATGTCAGTGTTAATTTTGGCATATGAGGAACTACAATGGAACAACCTAAAGGCACATACAGTATATTTATCTTCAAATTTACATTGACAATGTATTTCAACTTCAGGTAATCAAAAACAGGAAATAATAAAATTATGCATGTGACATAATAGCAATCAAGGTTAAAATTAATATGGCATTTTGGTGCAGATCAATTTATTTGAGTCACAATATTTTCTACTTTGTGAAACACTAATATATAAATCAGTGATGAAATATACATGATATATAAACAACTACTCAGAGTTTCAATTAGTAAGACATTGCGACTTAATATTTTACACTCGGTTACAATTTTGTCCAACTTTTTATAGTCAGAGATAGGAGATTATGGCAGTAATACCAGTCATAGCTAGTGGGACACCTGGGTTTGAATGTTTCTACATACACGTAGTTCAAAATTTGGAGGAATATCAGAAGTTGCAACCCTGAGGCAGAACTGCAGATGCTCCTATGTGAGCCTGGATCTGTGATTGGACTTTATAAACTTCATGAATGAAAAAATTATTCACATAAATATGTGCTGCCAAAAAATGAGACCTTCTTTAGTGCAAATGCTGTGAGACCTGGATATTTGTATCTTGGAAATATTTGCTGTAAAATTCATGTACTAGAACATTTTGTAGATGAATTGGAGCGTCATCAACATCAACATGAAATGGTGTGGAGAAAATGTTCAGACTGGTTTCTTCAGTTTTGAAGTCATTGAAATGAGATTGGAATTTCTGGGTCAAAACATCAAGTTTTCTAGCAAATTAATTACCTTTCCCGGGGAATTCATTTCCACAAACTTCGAGGAGAGTAGGAAAGTGTGATGCGCCATCTCTTCAAAGTTGTGTCTGTCACAATCACAGCTTGTTTTGAAAAAATTTGATGTGGCTGTATAACTTGTGAATCAGTTGACCTCTTTTCTGTAACTTGATGTTCAAGTCCTTGAGATGTGTCATAATATCGATGAGAAATGCCAATTCAGCCAGCCAATCATTATCATTTAACTCCAGAACTGACTTAGCTTTCATTTCCATGAAGATAGACACCTCATCTTTGAGATCGTGGAATCTTTTTAACATTTTACCTTTACTGAGCCAAGGCACATCAGAATAGTAGACGAGATCTTCTTTATCTGATTCCAGATCTTCAAGGAAATCTCGGAACTGCCAATGATTCAAAGCCCGAGGTTTGATGAAATTGATACAAGTAATGATTGGGTCAAAGACATGCTTAAAATTAAGTGTCTCGGAACAGTCTCTTGATGGATGACACAATAAAATACATTCATTTCTTCAAGATTCAAGCCACAATCAGATATCTCTGCTTTAATCTGTGCAACAAGGCCAACATTGGAGCCTATCATAGCCCTTGCCCCATCAGTCGTAATAACACTCAGTTTTTCTCATTTCAGTTTGAAGTGATCAAATATTGATTTTACTTCTGAGAAAAGGTCTTCCCTTGTTGTTGTCTGTTTCATTGACTGAAAGCTAGTAGATCCTCAGTGACAGTGAAATCCTCGTTGATTCCCTGGATGAAGATTGCCAGTTGGGCTGTACAGTCAACCCTCGCTTTACGCGGTCCCACTTTACGCGTTTCCACGTTTATGCTGTACCCTGCCGAACACGGAATGCTCACTTTCCGCGGTGCGTGTACCCCTTTACGCGGAGAGCGGCTGGCAGTCCTCTCGCGCCGTGCCATTTTTGGATCCAGCCATCTCTCCCGCCATGTTGTGTAAGCGGCGCGAGTAGGTTGCGCAGTGAATGTCTTTGTTGCATTATCGGTGACGTCATATGAAATAGCGGACTGTGATTGGGCAAAGCATCCTTACCTCCCTCCCTGCTAGCTGTGATTGGTTTAATGTAGTACTATGACGTGCCCCCCCGCGGGAGCGTTCAAGCCCCTTGACCTACCGCGTCAGTTACACACCTCCCGGCTACACCGTGTATATCGGTATCCATTGTTCCATGAGAATGGCTTCCACCGAACCACCACCACCACCACAAAGAAACTTTGCATTACCTGGACCCAGCCGCCCTAAGCCAAAGAAGACACGACGTTCCTTAAGCTACGAAATAAAATATAAGATCATACAAGAGTTGGAGAAAGGAACAAGACAGGTTGATCTCGTGCGCCAGCATGGTGTTAACGAATCAACTATCAGGACAGTTAAGAAGGATGCAGCCAAGATAAAGGAGCACGTGAACATCACAAAGTCTACAGGTGCTTCTATGATCAAGTATTTCCACAACCAGGTGCTTCTCAAGACGGAAAAATTACTTGTGAGCTACTTGATGCGTCAGGCGCGACGGAACATGGCGGTGGACACGCGCTCAGTTAAGGAGTACGCACGTGAACTGTATGCTGCAGTGTCACGAAAGATGGGAATTACAGAGCCCAAACCCTATAATGCTTCCTCTGGGTGGTTACAGAGGTTTAAGAAGAGGAACAAGATCACCAATATCAACATTGGTGGTGAAGAAACTAGTGCTGACCGTGTTGCGGCTAGGGAATTTCCTCCGTTTTTACGTGAGATTATGGAGGAAGGACAGTACACCGACGACCAGGTGTTTAACATGGATGAATCTGGTCTTTTTTGGAAAAAGCTACCTTCCAAGACCTTCGTTGTGAAGAATGCCAGCAAGATTCGGGGCCAGAAGTTGCAGAAGGAGAGCATCACCGTCCTGTTTACCACCAATGCCTCCGGTACCTGTAAGCTCAAGTTATCGGTGATCCACACAACACGCAAGCCGCACGCCTACAAGAGCATGGACATAACCAAGCTAAATGTCCACTGGCTGACCGCACGTAAGGCGTGGATGTTCTCTACACTGTCCCTCTCCTGGTTTGATGACTGTTTCGTTCCCGATGTGAAGAAATTCTGTGAGCAACAGAATGTGCCATTCAAGATTTTGTTGCTGCTTGACAACGCACCAAGACACTCGCCCCTACTGTTAGATCGTCACCCCAACGTAAAAGTGGTCTTCCTTCCTCCCAACACTACGTCTATAATACAGCCCATGGACCAAGAATTGATCTGTAATGTAAAAGCTGCATTCTCTGCTTAAAAATTCAACCTCCTGAATGACTACACCAACACCAAGGAAGAGTTGCGTAACCTGAGTGACACCAACACCGATAGCAAGAGTGAAGACGACGAGGATCAACAGTTGGCAGAGCAAGAAGTACTTTTGAAACAATTCTGGAGAATATTCAACATCAAGAAAGCTGTGGACTTCTTGGTGGAGGCATGGGATCAGCTGTCTGTAGCAACTGTTCGTCACGCATGGAGACATATGTTGCAAGGCATTCCGGGTGTTAGGCAGAGTAAATCTGTGACTGGTGAGGTTCAGACTGTTGCAGTAGCAGTGGACCTTGCCAGAGAAGCTGCGCAGAGTGTTACAGCTGCAGGCTTCTCCGAGACCACCAACGACGACATCCTGGAGGTGATAAGGGATCCTGATGTGACTACCGACGAGATGGTAGATGAT